AGTGGCACAGAGAGCTATGGACCTACTTCTAACTGAATGCAAAGGGCCCTAGGCATGGCTGCCCCCAGGGTATCAGGGCCCCTGTCTATATAAACAACATGAGTCAGCCAAAATCTGCATGTCAGCACCATTCTGGCCACCAAATCTCTTGCAATCCTACAAAAGAAATGTTATGTTGGCCAGTGGAAGCAATCAGCATGCGAGGGAGACCTCCCGGAACCAGAACCCACCTACAGGACCCCAGGATAGCCCCACAGGGTCAAGTCTGGGCTCCTTGAGGCATCTGGCCAACTCCACAGGCAGAGGTGACGGTAGAAGGAAGTCAGAGTGTCCCCAAGGGACTGCCTCTGCTAAGGGAAGCCTTAGCTAATTTCAAGGCAAGGTGCTCCAAATCGTGGAGACCCTGGAGCACAGGGTCCAAAGCCATACTTGCTGCTGCTACCCCAGCAACATATTCCTCTCCATACACCCCCCACCTCCCCTTTCCTCAGAGTGCACATCATAGTCTCAGGAAATGTTTAAATCCAGCAAATATCTTCTGGGCACCTCCTAAAAGGCCCACACACGGGGAGTCAAGTTACAGACACAGGGCATGCGCCAGAATGAGCCTCCCCTGACTAGGAGAAACTTAGTGACAAAAGGAAGAACGAGCCAGATGCCGGCAGGGCCATGATGCCAGGCCCAAGGAGCATGTGTGCCCTCTGCATGAAGGGGAGAGAGACATGGTCTGAGCAAAGGGACCCAAAGAGATGAGAGAAAGAGGGGAACAGGTAGCCAATTTGTCTGTCCCCAGACTGCTGGGGGAGGGAGCTGTAGGACCTCCTAGAACTCTGTCCTCCGTTTTTCTGCAGTGAGCTAGGGAAAGTTTTTTGAGGACAGCCTAAGACCAGAGTTTGGAAAGTTATCAGTGTTTGTGAGCAGCCGCATTTGTAAAACGGAAATTCCACCTCCCTTGCTGGGTTTTGAAAAGAAAATGAGATATAATTTTCTAGAAAGGTCTTTGCAAACCTTAAGCACTTCCCACACTGATGCATGACGAGTCGGTGATTGAACAAGCACAGACGGTAAGTTAGGATATAATAAACTGAATGCCAGAAAAGTTGTCTTCCTTTGTGGGAGCTGGCAACAGGCCCTCCTGGATCTATAACCTAGCTTCACCTGGAGACAAGGCTGGAGGAGGGAGGATTTTTGCTTAAACCCTGACTGCAGCCTGCTGCTGGGGCTCCTGTCATCACCAGTGAGAATACTACCTTATCTGGAGCCCTGAGATCCCTGCAAAGGAGCTGCTGCGACACCCCTTCCGCACCAGCTGCTCCTATATTTAGTTACTGGCGTGGTCACTTGGGAACTTTAGAGCCTGGCAGCCGCTCCAAAGGGCAACTCGAGCCTCTTGAGCCATGTGTGCAAGCTTCCCCACCGCTGGCTCCTGCGGGTCCTTCCGGCCACGCCAAGCGGGGGAGCAGGTGGGAAGGTGGGAGGCTGAGGGCTGGATGGTATCCAAATAGCCCCAAAAGCCCTCGAGACCTGGACAGGGTTGACCCACTTTTCTACCCAAGGGAAAGCAGTCCGCTGGGGCATGAGCGGGACGGGCCGGCGCCTGGTTTTGAGCCTTGGGGTTCGAAGCGCCGTGCGCGCTCTGCTCCGGGCACCCAGGTACCCTGGGACGGCGTCTCCAAGGAGTGTGCGCCGGGGCCAGGCCAGGGTCCCCGCGCCTGGCACAAGGGGCCCGCCTCACTCCTCTACCCCACCCCCCGGCGCCCGCAGCCAATGGCTCC